AGTCGAGCGAAGGATTGACCGAAAAATGATGCCCTTTCAAGAGGCTCCCGCAAGACTAATGACTGTTAAAAAGCAATCAAGTGGTAGCAGCAGTCTGGGCGGTATATCTCTGTATTTTATTACCGATGCCCGGTCACGGCACCTCTGCTGTTTAAATTATTGCCATGTAAATCACCTGAAGTGCTTTGGTATTGGAAAGCAGCAGATTTAAGATGCCAGTGCATGTGCTAAGTAGACAGTATACCGATATTCGTGGAGGCCTTCATTTGAGGTGCTAACTCCTGCTATTCATCAGCGTTGTCGGTCTACCTCGAGCTGGCACTACATTCTGAGAAGTTCGTTGGCGGACTAAATGAAGTCCTCTCTGACTCACATACATAATGCTTATTCTGTATTTCTGCAAAACTGATGTGAATGAAGGACGGCGCCTAAAAGTTCCAAACTAGCTTGTAGTGGAAGCACATTCATTGTAACGAGTTTACTTGCATCATATTGCCTGTGAACTTGGGGTTGCGACATTATTAAGATTGACAAGTTAAGAAAGGTATTGAAAGCCACATAACTGTTCATCCAGGAGTTAAAATCATCAAGTTCAAGGTTATTTATAGCTAAAATGTTGGCAGAACAAATTTTAATGTTGTGTCCATAATCTACAATATGTGGACAGTGGATGGATTCCCACCCAGAACTGCTGTAAACACAGTATGGATGCTTGTCTTAGCACGAATCTTTACATAAGATATCACTGTCCTCTGCTGGTTTTCAGACTGTATTACACCTACAGGGAAGAGATCAATGTCAAACAAAGTTGAAGGCTGTTTCCTTCACACAAAAAACAAAACTTTTTGAGGTTTCACTCATTGTTTATTTAGTACCTGTTCAGAATTTGTATAAATTGTAGTGACACTAGTTGTATTCTGACACATTTATCACTGCTGCTACCACGCTCCCGAGGACAACTCAAGTGTGTTGGAATTCAAGCTTGGTGACTGATGACATGCTTATCGCATTGTAATAATTAACTGTTGTATTGTTGACAAGTCTCTGTTGTCTTTCCCAGCACATAGGCCTGTACTATTTGCAATGGAAATGCATTCCCTTATTCCCCGGCTTATTTTTATTTTCGGCAGCAGACATGGTGTGAAAATTAATGGAGTTTGTTTTCCATTCAAGGATCCAAATTGATTTTCTCCTCAGCACAAATATAAGGTCATGACCACCACAAATGTATGTAAGAAATGTCATCACTGTGGGTTAACAGACCTGGAGTGCCTTTATATCATATTGTTGGTCTTTGCATTAGTTTCGTTATGTCATTTGAGATATGAAGTACTAGATATGATGTGTGCAGGATGCATGGAGAAAGAACCCCCCCCCCCCCCCCTCACCAACACACACATACACACTCCTCCACCGCTACACCCCGAGAGCTTTGGTTATGAGCCCGCTTTGTTCTGGCAGCAGACAGTCCCGCAGGATGGACCTCCAGTCACTCCCAGCTCAATTAGGAAGGGAACTTTCTGTAAAAGTCGTACCGTATTTTCAGCTTATGGTTTTCATAAGCTGTTCTTATTGAAGAAATTGCATTATGATTTGAATAGATTCTCCTGCTGTATTGTTTGCTCTGTGATTGGCAATATCTGTCGGTTACTCACTTCTTTAGTCCAAATGACAGAATGTCAAAATATCTCAAAAATAGTTGCTTTTCCATCCACCCGTTTTAAAGGTGCATTTTCAGCAGAGTGGAAACACAGAAAATTGTAAAAAAAAAAAAAAAAAAGTAAGATATCAGAAATATGTTTTTCCACTTGGCTGAGGTGGAAAAGTCAAATAACAGCAAAATGGAACATAGTGCGCCGGAAACAAACCTGGCGAACTAACCCAACTCCTAATATTTGCATAGCGGTAGCAGATGGAACATTTTCTCTGTTTTATCATCTGATAATCGCTATGGTTACTTTTTGTTGGTTTAGGCACAAACACTTTAGGATAGGTTCGGAAAAGAGCATGATTTGGGTTGAAATAAGTTGTTGGTTAACGTTGGGAAACTATCTTGGTCGGTGTTAAAAAGACAAAGGTTGGTGAAAAGAAACCAAGCACTGCTGGGAATGTCTGCGGACTCTCACTGATTTGACCATAGAGGCCTCGAGCTGTAACAGTGTGTTCACATGTGACTTATTCTTTCAGATATTCTCCCGTCGTTTACAGAGAAGCAAATGAACATGGGGAAAAGCGGGGGCATGAAGACAGCCTGTGAAGGGAAAGTGAAAGAGAATGACAGGCAGTTGCAGGCATTGTCTTAGGGGAGAGGAGAGGAGAGGAGAGGGGAGGGGAGGAAACAGACATATGAACCGCTTGTGTGGCTCCCTTCTAATGACTCCCACTGTGCCATTTTTACCAAAGGCAAGGATTACCATTAAGCCTGAGTCGCATCTTCTCACATGATCCTCTATCCTGCCCAAGGTTTATTCACACACACATGCCCTGATGTGAGCACACACAGACATGGTAGCGGGGGTGAGTGGAGATGAAATGGCGGTCGGATGAGGGCCGGTCACGGGACGAACAGAGGGGCTGTGTAATGCAGTAGATTTCGAAACAGTGAACCAATATGTTGTATTCTACATGGTTACAGTTTGGTGTGTTCATTTCCATTTAATACATCAGATTACTACATGATCCCTTACCTTTAAATTACAATTGTATATCACTGTTGAACTAATGCACACATTTAAAGATAGTTGACAAATTAGTAATCAGTAAATAGATTGCTTCTCTACTCAAATGTGACTGTAAAAACACTGCAGTGCATTTTCAGGTCAATCGCTTTTTGAATTATTAAATACCCACAAGTCCATGAGGATGATGATACATCATGGCCAGCATTAGACTCCAAGGTCAAAATAATTGATGGTTAGAACTATTACAGTATTCATCTTGACGATTTTTTAAAATATTTGTCGAAAACTAGACTGAGTCTCCAGACAATTTATGTTTAAATGTTCATAACACGCTAATGAGTCTCCTGCTAGTTCTCAAGGGGAACATGGGAACTGCACATACATAAGGAATGTGGCTGTATTGTTCAAGTGTACTTCATGAGAATGAGCTTAGCGCTAGCTTTGTGTAATCCTCGCCGTCACGCCCCAATTATAAAACGATAGGTGCAACCGGAGTAATGATAACCAACGTGAAACACATGTGACTGGGTTCAGAATCTTAGCCTTTCATTGTGTCACATCACATTGGGAAAAGACTCCCCTCCTCCTACAAAAGTGCTGTTTTGTTATGATTGGTTTTGCCTGAGGAGTACATTTAAATATGAATGATTTGGGTTTCAAGTTTACATGCAAATTATTAATCCTGACAGCATCGGGTTCATCACATCTTTCCAAGACAAAAAGTTATATATTTTTTACCAGGGGCGGAAAGAGTACTCTTTGTGTGTTTATTGTATTAGATTAATACTTCATCAAAATGTTTGAAGCCTTTTACTTTTATGGAATTTATTCTCCTTTTTATACACAAAGGTTGTTTTTGTCCAGTGGCTCCCAACCATAGGGCTTGGTCACAAGATAAATGGAGGGAGTTGTGAGAAAATACGGAAAAAGCAAAGTTCTGCAAAGTTCTGCAAAGTTCTGCTTCATAAATGCGTATTCATTCCATCATTATTTAAATGTTTGGTGAAATATTTGATACTTTTGGCTCTTTGAGCATTCTCTCCACGAGTAAATCACTTTACTCGTCAAGAATAGCACCACGCTACATGGACAGACAGGTATACCAAAATAACCCAGATGATGTCATCTTCTCAGCATTGGTTTAGAAGGCGAAAAATAGATAACATCATTTCAAATTGGGTAAGTGGAGTTTGAAAGATATGGGCATTTGCCAGGCATGAAGGGTATAATGCTGAATTCATGTCATGCTGGAGTTATCATAATTGCAGTTTCCCATCTTGTCTAGAGTGTTCAAATTAACTCTGACATGTCCTACACTGAAAGTGTCTGAATACCAAACAAACATGGATGCCTTGTGGCAACCAACAACCAACTACAAAAAAAAAAATCTTTAAAAAGCTGTTTTTAAATAGGATTTATGAAACATATTTTCGTTGTAAGTTGAAACTTTGATTTGAAACGTATAGAAACAGTTATGCATTCCTACAAGGTGTCTTTTGTGGAGTAAATGCCCTCATATGCCGTCACGTCTCACATGCTTATGGCAGCACAAGCAGCAGCCTTGGGGTGGGTGAAAGGAGGAGGTGGTGGAGAGAAAGAGAGAGGCCTTCTTGAGAAGTCAAATGACCTGAAATATAATCACCCGAGCAAACGCATGAAACCTCTGAGGCTTTCCAAGATTATATCCTGACATTTTATCGTTGCAGTTGAAGGGACAATCAGGGTATTAAATCGACACATTTATGGTTATTTATTGCTTTTCTATTTGGTTTTCAGTAAATGACAGAAGTGAAAATTTCCAAGTGAAAGAGTAAATCATGATAAACAAGAACCATATTGTATTTCTGAGTTTGCTTGCAGCACCAAGTTTGTTGTTTGAATTCCACAAACATTTGTGTGCCCATACGGCTACATTTTATAAAACGCTACCACTTCATAACAAATTAATTTCAATATAGTGCTCATGAAGTCGTGCTGAAACCTTAGTCCATGTACACCTATTAAAGTTCATATAGGGATGCTAATTCATCATAATTTGTGTTTTAATCTAAAACTGTTTCGTAATGAATCAGACTTCTTCCCTCATTTAATGTTGGACTCATTCTGGTAACTTTAGAAGTACAGTGAGTTTTTTGAACAATAATACTGTTCATCAGGGATCACACTTTCTCCCTCCGTGCCCAGGAGGAAATATGATGTTGTGTGATGGCATCACGCGGGGTAAAATCCGGTCATGCGCTAATCTGGTATTTAAGTTTCACAGTTCACCGGTTTGGGGGGGGGAAGTAGAAGCACAGCCTGGGCGCATGGAAGGGGACGTTTTATACACGCAGATAGTTAACGGGGAAAAGCATTCCTGTTGTGGTAAAGTGATTCACATTCACTTTGGATAAAAGCTTCGTTTAAGTGCATAATTACAGGTAAATCATCAGTCGGTAAAACTGACTCCAATTCAGCCGTGCGTAAAATCTGATAACCGTTGTTGGAAAAATGTGGCAGTGCTGCTGTTTGGTGCTTGTGGGCGCGGCGCTTGTGAGCGCTCAGTTCCCCAGAGAGTGTGTGACACCCGAAGGACTCAGGAGTGGACAGTGCTGTCCATCGCCCTCCGGACTCGGCGACGACCCGTGCGGCTCCAGCGCGGGGCGCGGGCAGTGCGTGTCCATCTCGGCGGACGCGCGCCCGCACGGTCCTCAGTACCCGCACGACGGACGGGACGATCGGGAACGATGGCCGGTCCGTTTCTTCAACCGCACTTGTCAGTGCAACGGGAACTTCAGCGGTTATAACTGCGGCCGCTGCAGACACGGATGGACGGGGCCTGTCTGTGACCAGCGAGTTTCTGTTGGTAAGTGCGCAAAACCAGGGGACATATTCATATAATAATGCTGTAGTACATTGACTCTGACTGAAGTTAAGAGAGAACATAGCTAGCAAATCTGGAGGTGGTATAATTCTGTGTTGTTGCTCAGTGGCACTTAAGCACTCCTTTGGGACACCTCATCGAGCACAATGAACGGATTTTTGCTCATATGTTTTCGTTGTAACTATTTTAAAGGACAAAGACAGATTATTTTACCTAAATGAATTCACAATGATTGAAGCTAAATGTATTTGAAATAGTTACAGCCCTGAAAGTTAGAAAAGGGCATTTGATTTAAAATTTGATCAAAACTGCCCCTTACGCGCATTTTTGTACTTCTTTTCTCAGTCATTAAAAACTGATCTCCAATTAACGCATGACTGGTTGAGTTAATCCACTTTCCCGCTTCCATAATCCCCCAGTAAGACGAAACGTGATGCAGCTCAGCGCGGACGAGAAGCGAGCGTTCGTGAACGCGCTGGACCAGGCCAAGCGCACGGTGCAGCCCGACCTGGTGATCGCCACGCGGCGCTATCCGGAGATCTTCGGGCCCGACGGGAACACCGTGCAGTTCGAGAACGTCACCATCTACAATTACTTCGTGTGGACCCACTACTTCTCGGTCAGCAAGACGTTCCTGGGTGCTGGGCAGGCCAGTTTCGGGGGAGTGGACTTCTCCCACGAGGGGCCTGGTTTTGTCACCTGGCACAGGTTCCACCTTTTACAGCTGGAGCGAGACATGCAGGTGAGAACCTTTATAAAGAGGGGTGACAATTGGAGTAATGTTGACGTAATTGCATACACAATGTGATAGAATTACCGATATGTCACCGTCTAATTTCTTAGTTCACCCCCTTGTCTTTCCCCAAAGGCTTTTAGAGAACCAATATTCAGATGTATTCATGTATTCTGAACAGATATTTTCATTGACTGTGTTAAAAAAAAATCTCTGTGTGTGTGAAAATGATAACCAATTTATTCTGTGCATTGACTCCATGACCAAATGAGACTCTAAATATACATTGACACATTAAGGAGGTGGAAATACATTGTCGGCAACATAATAAAATAAAGACTCAGCCTTGATCTTCACATTCACAAAGTAACTCAGCCATGCTTCCATTTATGTACAACCAGGACATGCTGCAAGACCCCTCCTTCGCCCTGCCCTACTGGAACTTTGCCATCGGTGGAAGCACATGCGACATCTGCACAGATGACCTGATGGGAGCCCGGAGCAGCTTTGACATGAATTCCCTCAGCACCAACTCCCTCTTCTCCCAGTGGAGGGTCATATGTGAGAGCGTAGAAGACTACGACACACTGGGAACCATTTGCAACAGTAAGACTGTAGTTTCTTCACCGTGGCAAATATTCATAGTGTTGTTACAGTGATCTCCTTTATGGTGATAGTGCAGAGAAATTGATGTCCTGTATCTAATCTGCATGGTTCCTGTCTCCTGCCAGGCTCTGAGACGTCTCCCATCAGAAGGAACCCAGCAGGGAATGTCAACAGGCCGATGGTCCAGCGTCTCCCAGAGCCCCAGGATGTGGCAGACTGTCTGCAGGTTAACGCTTTCGACACACCGCCCTATTACTCCACCTCCTCCGAAAGCTTCCGAAACACAATTGAAGGTGAGCAATTACGAAGACATTTTTCTGTCGGACCGTGTTTTCACATTGACATGCAATGTTTCTGCATTTGCATGACTTTTCGTGCCGTTTCGGCAGGCTACAGCGCCCCCCAGGGGAACTATGACCCTGTGGTGAGGAGCCTCCACAACCTGGCCCACCTGTTCCTGAATGGGACAGGAGGACAGACTCACCTCTCCCCCAATGACCCCATCTTCGTCCTGCTGCACACCTACACCGACGCTATATTTGATGAATGGTTGAGAAGACACAGTCCAGGTTTTTTTTTTCAAAAACACTTGTTTTAGATGTTTAATTGATAAAACCTACATATTTTACTGCTTTATATATAACATGGTGATCTTATAGGCTAACTTCAAGTATTTCTTGACAGATTCAACTCTGTATCCCGAAGAAAATGCCCCGATCGGTCACAACAGAGGCTCCAACATGGTGCCTTTCTGGCCCCCCGTGACTAACGCCGAGATGTTTTTGACTGCCCCCGAAAATCTTGGTTACTCGTACGAAGCTGAATGGCCAGGTATTCCTTCCGGATGATTTCTAGCACTTGGCACATTCTCGTGGGTCTGCTTTGCCTTTAAATGAATCCAGACGACGAAGGTAATAATCCTCCTCTTCTACCTCTCCAGCTCAAGCTTTCACTACGACTGAAATCATCACCATGGCCATAGTCGCTGCCCTCGTGCTCGTCGCGGCCGTCTTCGCTGCCACCACGTGTGCCGTGCGTGCCAGGTCTCGCAAGATGGAGGGCCACCAGCCTCTGCTTGGAGATCACTACCAGCGCTACGACGATGCCAAAAGCCAATCTGTGGTCTAAGATCGTTGTTTGAACATGAGCCTCTCTCTTCTCTTTACTTTTGCAGTGACGCAGCAATGCAGTTGTTTGAAGCACGGCTGTGTTCTCACTGAAAATGCTACAATATCTTTTGGCCCTATAGCAAAGCTGGTGTAGTTGCTTTTCTTTTTTTTTGTTAAAAATACTACAGCTATGAAGCACTCATTGAAGATGCATTTTTGTAATTGGAAGGTTTAGATCTATGCACTACTTTCTCAGTACTCTTTGCAATGGTGCGATCTTTGTGTTCAAATAAAGAGAACATGGATAACTGAAGTGTTATGGTGATGCCAGCAGGTGGTGCTAAACTGGTGCTGTCAGGGCTTCTACTGTAAATGACTTTTCAGGATCAGCAATGCTGCCTCCTGTAGTTTAGATTTTGATATTGCACTAAGTAAAAAGGTGACCAGATGTAAAGAGTGTCGATTCTGATTTGCTATTTGGTGGAGGAATGGAGTAATACAAATGAATTAAAACATATACAACGACAAGTTCCACCATGTTTGTTGTCCGTAGACCATTATAGAGGTGAAGTGTGAGGAATTACTAAGTACACTGCCCATGTGATGGATCCACAACGCCCACAAGGGGATGCAAGAGTTCAAATTGTAAAACTCTCCACATTGTTGGTGAGAGAGATATGCTTTGAGGTGAGAGGGTGTTGTATATAAATGATGTATTAAGATTGATCCAAAAGACCATCTAAAATCTAATTAACGAAAGAAGAGTTGAAAGAAAAGTGTCTATAACGTTGTTATAATCCGGGGACCTTTCTGAATTGTGTGCTCGCACCATATGCATCTATTTTTGTCTTCTTTTTTTTCTCCAACTTAATGGTCATTAACGCTATTCTGTTTTTACATTTATACTTCTGCCAGAAAGTGGTTGAATCTGGGTGCGTGGCAAATTATTTAAATAATTGAATTGTTTGTCCACACAGTGATTTGTTCGACTTTATACCAACACTGGGTGATTAAAACATTAATAAACGCAAGATGAAATATATTTATGTTCACACCAAATCACAACATTTTCTACATACTCTTATGTAATCTCCGGAGCCCATGTTTAAAGGGTATTTCAGTACTTTTCATTCATGATTTTGCTTCACTTTGTTTACCTGCATTCATTACGCATTTGAAAGTCTTTGTAGAAACACATAACCTGTCTGGTGTCTGGTGTCAGAGGAAGCTCCTTTATGGGAGGGTCTACACAGAGCACGTTGTCGTTAGACTGGCTCACTACTGGTCCGCCGCTTAAATGGGAGGTCTGTCGGCGTAACAGCGGTGCGGTGGACTCAGGGTAAAGTGGCATTGGCCCGACACTTCGTTCTGTCACCGGGTCGGGTAAAGTCGCGCAAAGTGAAGCGCCTGTTGCAACTTTGGATCAACTCTTCTTTGGATGTAGCTCGCGCGCGTCTCTCCTAACAACTCACAGCGCTGCGCTTCACACGTCCGCTTGCTCCACTTCAAAAAGTGTCAACGTGTGATATTTCGGACAGTCCGCAATGGACGAGGATAAAAACGTCCTGCCTGCTTTGAAGGATATAGAGACAAAGTTGGGTCTTAAGGTCCCGGATAGCCTCATTCGTTCTCTTGCTGCAGGAAAGCATCCCGACGTGCACGAGAAGTCTGCAGCGCCGCATTTAGTGAACTGCACACTGTATGGCAACAATGCGGACTTGAAAAGACTGGAGAGCAAAATGCTGTTCCTAAAACAAGAAATGGTATGCGTCTCTTTTGTTTCTGTATGTTTAAACGAGCTGTTAGGGAATTGTTACAGTAAGGAAACTGCCAGTTGATAAATAGATATGACATAATCATAAATCATATGACAAAGCTAAGAAATAGAGATGCTCCAGTGTAGCTTTTATGTTCGTTAAAAATGTACATACTTGTTATTAACTAGGTCACTAATGCTTAACCTTACATTCGTCCGAGCAGTTTATTCGTCCACAAACGTTCCAATTACGCTAATGGGAGCAGGAAATACACTTGACTGTGTTATTAAACCAGCCAATTATGCATGACTTAATGTCAGGCAGGTAAAACAAGATTGCTCTCTCTCTCTAATGCATCGCATTTTTTGGCAGCCGGGCCTGGGCTCAAATGCAAAGCAGGTCTACATATCAACATGTGGTTGTTGCATGCAAAGTCCCACTGATGGATGTTGAGCCTCCTTGTGTTATAAAGCACCGTGCAACCGGCCAATCCGTGAGAGGCATGCACACCTGAGCACTGAAGTCAGCAGGGACCTTTGTTGATAAACTGTCCTTACCTCAGGAAATAATCCCCCCCCCCCACACACACACACTTGATTATTCAAACTACTCTGTGAAAAAGGTAAATAGACATACTGCCTGTGTAATCACCTTTTTATTTATTTCGTAGTTCTCTCTACCAATACGCACAGTATTTTTAAATGTTATACTTGTTAGACTGAAGCTTTGAAGATTCCCAGAGTCCTAGCGAACCCCCCCCCCCCCCCTCATTTTAAGTCAGGTCATGAAAGGTATTAGGATTCCTGAGCAGATGGCCCGGTTGAATGCAGTATGAGGGCTGGATCAAGGCCAGCAGACAGACCAATCGCCCAGAGAGTTTGTGTTGATAAGCTGACATTTATGTGACGAGAGACATTGGGACCTATAACAGTATTTTTTAAATGGTTTAATTCGCATGCGTTTCAACCGTGACTGTCATGTCATCTTGTAATTGTGTTGATACGTGAAGAAGAAAAACACGTATTGACTTTTAAAAATGAATTGCGTGTAATGCCATTAGTGCTCTCTCTCTCTCTCTCTCATTGTCAGACAGCTAATTGTTGATTTGGGCCATCTTGGGCTTCCATGATTTTGCGGCTACCATCACAACTTCATCTCTAATCCGATCAGACTGCTCTCTTTTGGTGTGCACACGTCTGGTAGACACACACACACACACTTTTTGCAACATCATTGTGTTTAGCTACATTTTACAACACTTGAGGGGCCTATCAAAGGACCAAATGAACTCTGAAATTTGCAGTTCAGAAAAAGGTTATGGATCAGCTCTTATTAGTTTCATATGACAAATTAAACATGTGTTACTATCCAGCAGAGACACAATTATGCAGCGCTAATTGTGTTGCCCAAAACTCATCTTGTGTTACTGACCCTCCGGTGCCACCTTATTAACACGAGATCGCTTTTTGGTCTTAAATAGCAATGCGACTCCATCTGCTCGTCTTCCATGTGTGTGTGTGTAAAGCGGGTGGTTATTCTCACAAAACAAACACATCGGCAGCCGTATGAGTCAAATGAAGCCTGGTCGTAAATCCACTCCAAAGAAGGTCTGTTGTATCAAGCCAGCTGTCTGGAGCACTGTACCAGCCCTGTTTACCTTCATCTGCCTCAATGCATTTTCAATGTAGGAGGCTGTCACAGCTGTTCCTTCACCATTTTTCATCCTGACTGAGTGTCAGTCACCCGGCGACAACAGGAATCCCTTTGATTGACCCCATATGCTGTCCACTTCCCTCCCCAGTCAGTGGTTTGTCATGGCATGGAGTTAAATCAATGGCCATACTGTGTAAAGTAGGCATGTCATTCAGAATCCTGGAGGCAGACGGTTTCCTGCACGTGCTGTTCTATGAGTAGCATGTCGTCTTTCCGGTGCCACACATAGTTAAGTCTCTTTGTTCACAACAAAGCCTGATAGTCTCAACATAATAGCACATAGTGTTCTGCCCATGTGAGGGTATAAGAATGCTAACAATTGTTGAGAAAGAAGTCTCTCCACAATGTTCATTTAGTAGCTGATCCGGAGCTTTTCCTTCATGTCACATGACCTTCATACCCAGTTGTTATAGAAATGTAGATATTCAAATTTCCAATTTTTTTTGTCTAAGCACTTTCAGCTCTCGCATCCATGTTGATTTAAAAGCTGAGGTTCAATCTGCTAATGAAAACCATGTCATAAGCTCCAGAATAGCTCCTAAATGAACTTCTCAAAATGTTGAACTTGTACCTGGAATGCTCGATTTAGCACCAATGAACCTGACCGGGATGCTTTTCTCCAACTCACAGGCACATCTGCGAGCCATCGACGTGAAGCTGATGCAGCAGCTGATGTCCATCAACGAGGGCATCGAGTCCATCCGTTGGATGATAGAAGACAAAGGAGGCGTGGCCAGCCAAGAGGGCAGCCTGACGGGCAGCTTGTACAGCCTGTCAGACAGCCAGGACGGTACCTCGCTGCGAGGCAGCTTCAACAGCTTGAATGACGGCAACAGTGACGGGCTAGATACTCTGTCTGTGGGTAGTTACTTGGACACTCTAGCAGAGGACCTCTCGGACGACCCCTCACCTACAGATCTCGACTGTTTTGTTGATAAAACGGTTATCGATGGGGATACTTTCAGCAAATCACCACTGAAACTCAGGGCGGAATCGGATGAATACTACTGCTTTGGATAATGAGCTAAACACAGTGGTTACAGAGACTACTGAGATATGTGAAGACAGATTTTAAAATGTGTTCTTCACAAATTAACACAGCTGTCAGAATATTTTCCAATGGCGAATGTTGCTTTTTACCTTTTTAAACCAACATCCTTATGCGGTGGTTTGAACACGCCTCGACAAACCATTGCCACTTAATGTCGCACCACAAGTGAAAACACCTTTACAGTTCTTTAAGTCTTAATATTTTATCATGCAGGTCAATTGAGTAAAAAAGGTGCTCTGTTAGGATTTAAAGATTGTATTTATTGAGTTACCTCAGCAGTTTAGTTTCACAGATGAGAGTACTTCTTGGACTAAACCTAATGACGACGGGGGGGAATAAGAGTAGCAGCATAAGCTGAACATCAAATCTTCTTTATCTAATGTCAGCCCCAATCATCTGATCTAAGTGAAGGAGTAGATTAGGGTTTAGCAGCCACTTGGAAAATTGGACGTTTCACGCTGAGTGATGCAAGTAGAGTTAACTATTTAAAGTGGTAAGTTTTAAGTGTTAAAGCAAGTGCAATTTGCTTCCATGCCAAATTCTGAGCTCCGCCTACTATAGATGTTCAGCTTGTAACTATTTGTACTTAAATGTTTTGACATGATGGAAGTTCCTAAGCTCAATCGCATTCTGCAATAGTAGAACGTCCATGTGCACTCGAGAGATTAGTAGCACGTTTTAAAGCACAGATGCTTGACTGAAAACCAAAGCAATTTGATTGTCTTATAGCTCATTTTAGGCCTGAGGCAAAACCCTGTTAATGCCTGATGGGAGATTTGTTGACGCTGGACATGTGGAACACGAGTTTGCTTTGTGGGCACATTTTAGTTCTCTGTTGTCAAAAACAGGTGTGTTGTTTTAGCTTTAAATGTTGTAGTTTGTTTTTTTTGTCATTTGTATTTTACACTGCCTGCATTTGTAAGAAAAAAAACATGTTTGTTTTTTATGGGTTGCTGTTCATTTTGTTGTGGAAATGAAATAATATATTGTGATTTTTTTTTTTTTCTCCTGCTCACATTGTGTAAGTCTTTAATGAAAAAAAAAACTCAAACACAGTAACTTGTGTTATTCTCAATTCTTTCGAAAACAAACCCCAGTTCCCTGACCCCGTTATGGAACCTTAATGAGATGGGAAGTGAACACCCCTATATATGAACTCTGTCCCTACATGTCCCTTTCCTTTACTAAAATACAAAACCAGGATGATTCTGAATTTGGCAAATGGCTGCTTACTTGCGCCCTTTAAACGTCCCCCGCTACTAGCAGAAGAATGCCACTTAGGATGATATTCAGGATGGCACACCAAGTATTATAATAGACGAGGAATCATGTTACTAAAACTCTTATGAGCGCCACGCTTTGGCTGAACTTAATATGAAAATAACTCCAATCAAAAGGGAGACCGAATTAAATTGCCAGCCCTGCAGAATATGTGATGGTCTGCTGTATTATTTTCTTTTTTTTAATGCATCTCACTAGCTTCTTATCTTTCATGTGATAATTGAAGTTCCAGACAGACTATACAGGGGGAAGTCATTACAGGAAAGATGAGAAGCTTGGTCTCTTTGGCTTGCAGCTGAATGAGTGGCCATGGGACACAGTACTTCAGTGCTTTCTCAGACTGGGATCTGACGGCAGGACTTTGCTTTGGAAATGCTGCCGTGTTGGATTAGTCGTCATTTATTCACTTTTTGCTGAAGAGCTGTCTCATGTTAGGATCTCAGCTTATTTAAAAATTGGCATTCATGACACCATGGATGAAGGGTTGTGTGGATGTTTTCTGATCGCGTTACCGTCTTCTTGCGAACCATGAAATGCACAAAATAACAAGATTGGACTCAAAGGACATGTTTAGTGTTAGTTAGTTCCAGACAGATATAATCACTTTATCCAGGCACATTAAGCGTACTTGTAACTTGGTTTCACACCAAGTGCAAAGCAGCTTTATTTGGTTTTATGCTGCCTTTCCTTATCTCTACCTCCTAGAGGCTTTGGCAGGCTTAAGCTCCATGTCTAGCTGAACCACACAGAGGCCACTAAACCAAAGAGCCTTGTTGAATGGCAGCATGACCTCCTTGTCAGCAATTCAATTCAAAACATAAAATTCTCTCAACTTCCCTAAATTTCATGTCTTCACAAATGTAACCATGTCATGATAGTTCAGTTAATATCCCTCGGGGGGGGGGGGGTAAATGTTGAGACTTGAGCTTGTGGCATTGAAATAATTGGACACACAGAACAGGTTCTGCAGGTTTATGTTATAACAGCTCTGAGTCAGAATCCCTCAGAGCTACATGGTACACTACACTTAAACAGAAGTTGCCTCTTGGGCCTTCTTCTGTCCTTCTAAGTGTGCATTTCTTACATAAAAGGGAGAACCATTTGACCCACTGCCTTTGTGGTGAAGACGAGTGCTGTCTTACAATAAATCATCCAATCGCATTTGAGAAAATTACCATTTAATTGTCCCATTTAGAAAGTGTGACAGAAAAACCATTGTAGTTTTACGTTATAGTCCAGGAAAGTTACTCGGTTTGTCAAATTCTTCTGTCAGCAATGGTAGTCGTTCTATTCTGTGGGTGAATGACACCCAGGCTTTGTTGAAAGCAAACAAGGGTCAAATCAGCTGCAGTGCCCTGAGTTTGGCAACCCAGTGCAAAATAATGATTTTGTTTTTCATTCTCTTAGTTAGTCCTCAGTTACTTTGCTTGAGCACAAATAATTTCACTTGCGCACAGTCGAGACAGCAGCTTCCAGCAGGGATCCATTAACAAATTAGACACAGGGGTTGGGCCTGTGCCACAAGATGAAGGGAAACCAATACCGCCTGGTATCTGGGAGACTGTCACCATGCTACCAAATGACGATACAGGATATGGGTTACTGGAGTTGGTTTTGGACGGAGGGGGGTGAAAAGAACCAGAGACACAGGTGACCCCTCTGACAGGAAGCCACAGATATTAAGTAAATATTCACAATTGTCAAGTTACTTTATTCTGGTTTCATTAGCTTTTCTTTCTTTGGGCCTCTGGTTTGGTTCACAGGTCTGTTGGTGTTCCAACAGCTCTATATAAACATCACAGCTGTATTAAAGAGAGTGCTCGTCTTGTGTATAACAAGGTTGACTTAAGAAGGAATATTTGCGATTGCCCTGCATGCTATCCTGACATGCTAATGCCTGTAATGGATGTAGCACATTAGAGCCACTATGTCGGCCTTATTACATTCCCAGACACGAGGAGCTCCATGTCGGGAGATTTATGAAGCTGTGGAAAACTTAATAAGGCCTGTCGCATAGCATAAATATCTTGTTTTGTCTAGGGAAAAATGCTTAATGAATGTCAAGGTTAGCCACAACCCCAATGTTGTGCTTCACATGAGATTTTCCGCACTGCCGACGCGGTGATAGCGTCAACTTCAAACCAAGCGTATACCCCATTCTGATTAGATTATTACACGAGCGGCAGAGATATATGTCTACCGTATACGTTAGGGAAACGTCCCTTTTGGGGAAAAAGAGTCTTGACGGAGCTCTCAGCTGGCCTTCTGCCAAGCTACTTCTCGGGAGCCTTGTTAAGCTCCTGGGAGCCACCGTTTCCCAAAAGCAGCAGCAGAAGAGAGGCAACACTGTTAACGTCAGTGCAAATATTAAACATTAACGCTGCTCTCATAAATTAGCTCGGCTGAGATTTAGAAAGAGCACCCTCTGGAAGCTTCTGTAAACATGACGCAGAAAACATCTGACCCAAATACAGAAAGTGGCAAGCCTGGGAACATATCACTCCTGCAAGCTGGTCAGACTGCATTCCATTCATAACTCAGGGGGTTATTTTTAATCAACATATACACAAAGAGTTCTTGATTATTTATAAGATGTAGTTACAGCTATAAAGATTACAAATCACCCCACGAGACTTCTTTTCTGGGACATTTTTCCTCTAGTGTTTGGTCATGAATCGCTACAGTCTTAATTGTTGTACCGACAGTGAACCTTAGGTTTGTTTACATTCCAGCGCCACACTTTAATTTATAACCCCTGAGGATTTACTAGACATTATTGGCTACCTTATATTGTTTGGGATGATGCTACACTATAGTCTCTCAGAATGCTGCACCAGCTCTGCGCAACTTCGAAGTTAATTGAGTTATAATTGAAATGTTTACTAAGATTAGTACACGCAAAACATTTCCAGCCAGTGACTGCCAAGGGCAAGGGTGTTGTTCAAGTTTCTCCTCGCCTTGTTGACATAACCGGGCTAGCCACGCATGCCTTTTAGTGCATGAGAGTGCGCCCCACTGGCTAGCTCACGGCTGCCGCTCTGCACGACACTCATATGACCTGCTAGCGCCGTCCCAGCCGACAGCGTCGTCCGCCAGCCGACAGCCGACAGCCCACCCTCCGGTGTCCCCTTCGGTTCACACAGTTGGCTCTGTCGCCACTGTTACCATTGTTTGCACTGTTATCACCGTTAGCAGCGCTGGCTCAGTGGTCGCCATCTCTTTCGTATTGAGCACTTTTGATAAATGAGCTGTGAAGATTTTAAACCAAATTTCACAAAAATAGCACAATATAATACCTCAAATTACAAAACAACATGGCAATGACATTACCCTAAATCACCAAATACAGTTGGTTAGGTTACCATAGTTTGATATACCTAGTTATCCGAAACTGAATAAACACTATCTAACTAACGAATTAACTCTGAAACACATGTAGATGTATATAAAATCAAAGTCATACCTACATTCCTAAAACTGTTCTTTTGAGCAGTTATGACTTCCTGTTTGTATGCTGTAGTTGATTGCTTTTGAATCTGCTATGCTTAATGAATCACAAGTTTGAAAGAAGCGAATCCTAAGAATTTAGTACACAAAAAGTAACTGATTTACAAATATCTCGAACAACCCAAGGCTGATATAAGAAAGAAGGACAAAACAAGAAACTATTCTTGGCCTTGAATAATGAAAAACTATGAATTCATTATCATCAATACTTTATACATTTAATAAATAATGCTGTGATGCAGCAGCAAGCAGTGGCTGGTTGTGAAATCATTTTCAGTTGAACCAGTTGTGCAATGTGACCACCGCTAATAGTTACCGCCTATTATGATGTGTTCCCATTTCTGCAATGAACTAAGGATTGGCTAATTAGTCATCATTAGTCACAGTGTAACCTGTATGCTGAAGATCAGTTGATTTCACCTTCGCTCTACTTCCAGTCAGCAGAGTTTTAAGATATCATATTTTGCATAAGCTGAACAGTGTGGGTAAAGGGCACCAGAGTGAATATGTAAAACTGATGATAATTCATGTACAGTAGGACCAATCATAAAAGCAGCTTTAACCCTTGTATCTTTTGAGTCACCCTCTCCCTCCCTGGCTGTGTGCGATGGCTATCTGCATTGGGTGCGTTTTTCCCCCAACCACACCACTGCGGGCCGAGCCCGTTGAGCTGGCTGAGATTAAACAGCAGGCTACATCAGCCAGGAACCTTCAACGGATAGAGAGGAGAGAACAAAACAAACCTCTATCCCATTTGATCCCCTCCTTTTTTCACTCCCTTCTCTTTCTATCCGGGCCAGGAAGCCTTTCCATGACTATATTAGGAATCAAAGGGACTTCTACAGAAGCCACTGACCCGGCCACAGCTTTTTGAACTTCTACTTTGCTCTTTGATAGCCAAGTTGTGAGTCATGAAAAAGAAATACATGTTATCATGGTTGCTTTGAGGCTTACGGAAGCTACAGCGTATGTGATTATTTCAGCTATACTGCACTTTTGTCTGTGGGTTAGCCTTGTGTTTGATGAGTTATGGAACAAGACAGACGTGCAATCAAAAACGCACACAAACAACCCTTTAAGATAGTGTCACATTGATTATTTCCACGCTGGTTTTAATGGCATGTGCGTGAGGAAGCCT